GAATTTAAAGATCAAGAACACGATTAAAGTCCCGAGAGAGTTGCTGTCGCTTTCTTGATTTTCTCTAGTTTTGTGAAATTTATTAAAAAAATTACTGTGAGGGTGAATGCCAATAAAAAAAAATAAATAAAGCCAAAAATATGCAAAAGTAAGTGTTTTATAAACAAGTACTAAACATTCGTTTGATATATTAATTATTTTCCATTAAATTACTTAATGGTATTAATTTTTAGTGAGAAGGGGAAAACATTGCACGGTTGCGAAGGGTAGATTGATAGTAAAGCTATGAAATGAAGGAAAACATACAAAGAAATAACAGATAAGAAAAAGCTTGAACAACGTGGTCGTAGATGTAGCTCTAGAAATTTTGGAGATAGGTGCCCCTAGTACGGTATAGTACGGTGAACCCTTAAGCGTCATCTGAAATGATGAAATGATCTAATTGAAGTCCTAGAAAGGTCCCTCTTTTGACTAGCATGCCAACGCTAAGTTGACTTTTGCAAAATCTAATAAATGTTGACCACTAGAAAAGTGGCGTAACATATTATGGACATATGAAACAAAATTTTCTTATATGGTGAAACAGGCTCTAGACAGTATGTAAGAATTCACCCATCATTCATTCATCAACTTCAATACGCAACCAAAAGTATTAAGCATGCAGGGTCGAGTATAATCGTTTGGGTCTGTTTTTCATTATACCCTTCACCACACTGTGGTACAGGGTATTATGTCTTTGTGCATATGTTTGTAACAGGCAAAAGGAAACGAGATAGACCCATGGTTCCTTTTGAGAATATGCATACAATCACTTTTTAAGTCGATTTATGCATGTCCGTCCGTCCGTCTGTCTGTCCATGTATTTTTGTGAGCAAAGTACAGGTCGCATTTATGATCCGAATTGGATGAAATTTGGCATAGGTCACTTATTCGGCCCAAGGACAAACCCTATTGAAATTGGGAAAAATCGGTTCAGATTTAGATATAGCTCCCATATATATATTTAACCGATTTAATGTAAACGGTCCCTATATATCTTTCGATCTGCACGAAATTTGGTACAGCCCAATCATTTAGGTCTAGAATGATGTGTGTAAAATTTCATAAAAATCGGTCCAGATTTAGATATAGCTCCCATATATAGTTTCGTCCGATTTCATGTAAATGGTGCCCCAAAGTCCTAATATATCTTTCAATTTGCACGAAATTTGGCATAACATACTGAATTGAGGCTAGAATGATGTGTGCCGAGTTTCGAGAAAATCGGTCCAGATTTAGATATAGCTCCCATATATATAGTTTCGTCCGATTTCATGTAAATTGTGCACCAAAGTCCCTATATATCTTTCGATTTGCACGAAATTTGGCATAACGTACTGAATTGAGCCTAGAATGATGTGTGCCAAATTTCGAGAAAATCGGTTCAGATTTAGATATAGCTCCCATATATATTTTCGTCCGATTTAATATAAATGATGTACCAAAGTCCCTATATATCTTTCGATTTGCACGAAATTTGGTGTAACGTACTGAATTAGGCTTAGAGTGATGTCTGGTATGTTTCGTGAAAATCGGTCCAGATTTAGATATAGCTCCCATATATAGTTTCGTCCGATTTCATGTAAATGGTGCACCAATGTCCCTATACATCTTTCGATTTGCACGAAATTTGGCATAACGTACTGAATTGAGCATAAAAATATGTCTGGTATGTTTCGTGAAAATCGATCCAGATTTAGATATAACTCCCATATATAGTTTCGTCCGATTTTATTTAAATTGTGCACCAAAGTCCCTATATATCTTTCGATTTGCAGGAAATTTGGCATAACGTACTGAATTGAGCCTAGAGTGATTTCTGCCAAGTTTCGTGAAAATCGGTCCAGATTAAGATATAGCTCCCATATATAGTTTCGTCCGATTTCATGTAAATGGTGCACCAAAATCCCTATATATCTTTCGATTTGCACAATATTTGGCATTACGTACTGAATTGAGCCTAGAATTATGTCTGCCAAGTTTCGAGGAAATCGGTATATATTTAGATATAGCACCATTATATTATAGATTGATTTTAAGTAATTGACGCCCCAAGGAACCAATATATGGCTGATAGGAACAAAATGTACTGAAATTAGTAAAACCTAACCTGTACCAAGTTTCGTTGAAATCGGTTCATTTTAGCATCCATATATAAGTAAATTGTGCATCAAACTCCTCATATTTGTTAGATTGACATCAAATTTTGCACAACGTACAAAATTGAGCATAGAATAACGTAGTTTGGGTTTCTAGAAGTGCAGACCTAGCCCAACGGATGACCTATTGATATTTGTTTGAAGTCGATTTAAATACTTTTGTTCCATTGTAATAAACGAATTACATGTTTATGGATAGATCTAGGTCATTTCACATTTAGATAAATATCACATATTTTATTTCATACAATTTCATGATAATAGTCCTGTTTAATATACCCATAGTGGTGAAGGGTATCATATAGTCGGCCCCGCCCGACTTTACTACTTTCCTTACTGGTTCATATTATATCGTAGGGCCAAGCATTCGATCAATGGTTTAATGGATAGAGCAGTGTATATTAATAACCTAAAAAAACATTATGGCAGTTAGGAAAAACTTTTCAAATGGACATTTCAAAAGGATAATGAACCTAAACATACTAGCGTATTGGCGTAATTCCATGGCATATGCAGTCACCGGATCTTGATCCGATTAAAAATATGTTGGAAGATGTACAACGATGTGTGGCCAATGCCAAACCAACAGAAATATCCGAACCTATGGGCTGTAGTTCAAGAAACATGGGCCCAGATACCAGAACAGCGATGCAAAGACCTTAACAACTATATCAGAGCCGTTGCGATGCTTTAATTAAAAATAATAAAATATGAAATAAGCTATTGCTTTTATCGCACATTTTTTGTTTTAATATTATTATTTGGAATATAAAATTTAGTTAAAACCAGGAAAAAAGTGTCAGTCGGTGTTGCCGATAGATATATACCCTCACCCTATGGTTTGGGGAGGAGGTCTTCGGAGTTATACACAGGTTTTATTATTCGTTTATAAAAAATATATGTTTAATAAAAGATTTCGAATTATATATTGTTCAAAAGCTTGGTTCAAATCGGATATACCATTCGCCTGATATTGGATTTTTAAATATTGCAAATTTTGACCCTTTGTAGGGGAGGTACCAGAAGGAGTGAACCAATGTGTTTCATATTCTAACTTGATCTATTCTCGGTAAAGATAATAGTTTGTGCAAGGTTTGATTCCAATCGGATATTTCATTCGCCTGGTATTGGACTCATAAATATGAAAAATTTAAACCATTTGTGTTGGAGGTACCGGAAGGAGTAGACCAATGTATATCATCTTCGGACTTAATCTGGGCTTGGTAAAGATAATAGTTTGGGCAAAGTTTGGTTCGGACATTCCCATCGCCAGATATAGGATATATAAATTTGGAAAATGTCTATCCTTTGTGGGGGAGGTATCAGATGTAGTGGACCGATGAGTCTCATCTTCAAACTTGATCTAGGTTTGGTTAATAGAATAGGTTATGCAAAAGTGGGTTCAAATCGGACGTTCCAATTGCCTGATATTGGATTTATAAATATTAAAAAATTTGACCATTTATGTGGGAGGTACCTGAAGGAGTGGACCAATAGGCCCCAACTTCAAACTTGATCTACGCTTGGTAAAGACAATAGGTTGTACAAAGCTTCGTTACAATCTTATACACCGTTTGCATGTGATCATAAATTTAATTTTTAACACAATTTTGTGAACAAAAGTGGACCGATAACCATCTTCGAACTTGGTACAAATATTACGATGTACAAAGTCTGGATGGAATCGGTTACTCGAGTTATCGTGCGCACCAATCGGCCAGACAGACGGACATTTGTAAATCTACTCCAAATTGTCTGAAACGGATTTCGTCCAAAGAAACATGGGGTCTAAAACTAATATTTCGATGAGGCACATTTTTTGCCGGGTGAGGGCATAAAATCCTCTTTCGAAATGTGATCCCAAAAACAATCTTCGATAGCTCCAAACAAATATATTTAGCTTTTTCTTCATGAACTTTCGAGTCACCAGAAAAAATGCATTACGCCATAACTGAAAAATGTGACCTATGGCGAATATGTCCTCCCGGGTTCTTAATATACTCGTCAAGCGCTTTCATCCCCATTAGGATTTTTCCACCCATGACATTTTGTGGCACATTCTAATTCATGTTGAATAATAACGAACCATTTCAAATGTTGATATTGATTTTCGAAATATTCACCTTTAGGAATCCTATTTTCAAAATCACTTTTACTCTTCGTATAATAAATGTAGCTTAGAATTCAGCTATATCGTATAAAATATAATTGAATAAGAAAAAATGGCTGTTTCTGCATCACATTAACATAAAGGATAATCCACTTATAATAGTGTATGTCAAATAATTCCTTCCTTGTTATCGAATATTTAGCTGGAATCCCAGGATTTTTATTGTATAACTTAATTGTATATGTAATGAAGCTGTCAATCACATGTCCACATCATAGTCTATAACTATGAAGAACTCATCAAAGTATCCTGCGGCAACAATTGATTTATTGTAGTCCTTAGGGGTCATTCTGCCAGTTTAAATAATGTTGCAATAGAATTCCACTTCTATTACAATTACAACAAACGCGCTGACGTCTACGTATTACAATTTCAACTACTCTATAAAATTAGAATAAATATTTATTGTTTACATACAGACATATGTATTTATTTTTACAATATCTAATCAATATCCTTATTTTTGCAGTGTCCACAAAAGCAACAGCAACAGCAGCAGTTAAATTAAATCAAACAACCGACCGACCAATTGTTGTGAATTCCTGCTAAAGGCGAGACAAGTGAACGACAGCACCAGCAAAGCGCGCCAAGAGCTGTGTCAGCCCTCTTTCGTAGTCGGTCAATATAAGTGCAATAGCTACTGCTGGGTGCGGGCGAATTTGTGCCCCACCTCCGGTAAGTCATCACATAGCCAGCCATGTTATTCATGTTCATGTCAATGTCATTTTTATGTTGTTCTTGTTTTTCGTTTTCATTTTTTTTGCTTTGCAATTTTTTACACACTCATTTGTTGTTTTGTTTTTTTGTCATTTGTTTACTGAATTCAATCAAAAAAATAATGAAAGAAACGCGAGTAAATAATTTGCATACAAATGTTTTTTTTTTTTATTTACACACACACATATGTCTATATAATGTGTATTTTTTATTTCTAATTTATATGTACATATGTGTTGCATACACTTGTGTGAGAGAGTGTGTGTGTGTGTGTGCGAAAATAATTTACATTATTTATTTACATACTTATTACATATGTAACGTACATATGTAATTCGTCTATTGTGTGTAATTTGTATATTTACTTATTATATTTGATTTTATTTTTGTTTTTCATTTCAATTATTCAGTTTTTTTTGTTTATCTGCACAAAAAAAAAACAATAAACAAAAAACCCAACGAAAATTGAAATCCATTACAGAATCAAATAAATTATGAAAATTAAAAAAAAATCCGAAAATATTTTGGCTAACTTTGACATTTATGTCTGCACGTTGGCCACCCTCTATCCCACAAAATCAAAAATGAAATCTGTGTAACACATGTGACCACTACCATTACCATCACCACCACCGCCACAATAACCATTTCAAATTGTTGGCCATCATCATCATTACCATCGTCGCCAGCACCTCCCTCCTCCGGCGTCGTCACCATCTACCACCACTAACAATTATCACCACTACTGCTTTGCTACCTTTGACATTTCAGAGAGAAATTGGAGATGAGAAATTTGTGATGTAATGCCTACCTACGCTTGTTCGAGTTCTTTGCCAATTTGTGTTAGGAGCGAACTGTTTTGGTGTGTATTAGGGTGGATCACATTTATAATTTTATAAAAGGATAATTTAGAAAAAATGCGTTAAGGACTTCAGAATAAAAAGCTTTTAAATAACCTATATAAATGCTTACTTTTCCCTACAAAGATATTCTATGACTGGAAGGCCTGCAGGCGGTCTTCTATGTCCAGAAGCCCATCACTGCCATATTGTGTCTAGAAGATCTTAAACAGAGAATTTGTGTACCGGTTCCTTTTTTCCAGTTAATCATAACAAAAAGAATAAATAAATAAAGTGAGTTTAGTGGCCAGGAACGGGTAAAATTGAGAATAGACAACCTATATATGGATTTTTTTTCCACACCGCAGAGCGTAATAAGTCTTCTGTGTCTTTAACTTTAACTCTGTGTCTTAACTTTAAAAGGACTTTTGTGTTCCCAACACATATACTAGGTCTTCTATTTCTAAAACATCCTATAATACGTATTTTGTATCTATAAAGCCTAAATCAGCTCTTTTGTGTTTAGACTACCTACAGGCGGTCTTATAAGTATAAAATGCCCATAGCAGGTCTTTTATTTCTAGATCATCTATATCAGGTCTTCAATGTCTAGAAGGCCTATAGCAGGTATTTTTGAATATGTTCAGCAAGTGTTTTATGTCCATAGACTTCTAACAGATGACCTAAGCATAGCAGACCTAGAACAGGTATTCTATTATATATGGAAGGCATATAACTGGTCTTCATTGTCTAGAAGACCTTTAACAGGGTTTCTATGACTGAAACAGATCTTACATTTGGTGAAAAAAGTCCCGTAAAAAGTTTTTTATGGGTAGAAGACCTATAGGTTCTTTACTTTGACTGAAAGCATTTTAGGTGAAAGCATTTTAGGTGGTTTCCTATATCTAGAAGACGCACAGGCGCTTTTCTAAACATTCGAATGTCTCATATGTATAAAAACCTTTAGAGGTCTCCTATTTCTAAAAGAAAATATATAAATTGGAGAAGTCCTGCTGAAGGTCTTCTAGGTCTATAAATGGTTTTCCAAGTCTATATTTAAAAGACTTAAAAGTGTGACATGTCTAGAACAGGTTTTCCATGACTAAAATACGTCTATGAGGTTATCAACGTCTAGAAGAACTATAGGAGTTCTTCTACGTTTAAAATATCTATAAAAGGTATTCTAGGTATATAGAGAGGATCTCAAGTCGATGTCTAGACTACTTCAAAGTCGTCAATATCTGGAAGAGAATTTCGTACTGTAGGAGGTTTTCTAGGTCTAAAATATCTATGGAAAAAGTATCAAATGCGTAGAAGACTTGTATGTGTTGAAGAGATCTTCTGGAAAATCTGTAGGATGAAGTTTACGTCTAGAGATGGACCTCTTCTATACACGGACGACTTCCTTTTAAGTCTTCTAGACATATAATACCTGGACATATAATATATCTAGAAGAGAAGAGTTTATTTCCATAGAAGAGCTAAAGCACTTCTATTTTGTGCGGAAGGTCTATAGTTTGTCTGTAAAACCAGCATGAAATCTGCTATGTATAGATCTTCGATGGTTAGAAGTAGGTATTCTATTTCTAGAAGACATATACGAAGTATTCTGTACTAAACGACCGATAGGAGGTCCTTCTGTAGGACCTATATGAGATCGTACAAGGGTACCTTCGTATATTTCTGTGCAGAAATCTTTTCACGTATATATGTTCGATGGATAGAAGGAGGTATTCTATGTTTAGAAGACATATTTGAGATATTCTGTACTAGAAGACCCATAGGAAGTTCTCAATGTATAGAAAACCTTCAGTAGGACCTATAGAAGATCATACATGGGACAAATATTTCTGACCTGAAAAATCAGAATCACCTTTTCCACTCCGATTGAGACAACATCCAAATTTGGTTTTTTTCGATCGCTTCATTATCATCTTCTGGTGAGGAAAATCGTTGAACACTCATTTTATGTGCAGGAATCAGAAGATGTCAATTGTGTGGCAAACCTTAGATTTGATTTATCCATCCAAAAATTGCTGCTTCGAACCGATATATGGGAGATTGTAATGGTGATTAGTATTCTCACCGTCGCTTTTCAGCTTGCTCTAAAGACTCCAGGCATTTCATTTTTCCAATCTGATTGAGACAGAAGATGGCATGTGGAAATTGAAAAAAGATTGGGTGTCAAGTTGGAATTGCACGGTGAATGATCCATCCACGTTTTGGCGGGTCAAATAGGAACTGCTTTGGCAGATGAGTAAGAGCTCGTACAATGAGACCTCTCTGGTTCATTTTTCGATTTGTTCCGATTATTTCAATCATATATATTTTCACTGCGACTGTGACCCGAAATATGGGGTTTGAAAGCATCAAAAATTCCTTTTGGCGGCTATCAACATCTTGGTTGACCACGAATTTTTTCCCTGATTTGCGGACAAAAATAATTCATTGTATGCCAAGCGGACTTTTACGCTCAAAACGTCACTGGTTTGAGTGGATGTGAGAGAGAGCTCGCATGATCATGGTGTACAATGATTCACTTTCCCTTGCTCGTATTCCAACTTGGTCCGAAGTCTTCACCCATTCACTTTTCCACTCCCATTGAGACAGCTGTATGGTAGATGATTTTGGTAGGTTAGAAAGTGCTGCTTTGAACCGATGTTAGAGCCAGCATAGCTGTGGTTCAAAATAGTTCGTCTTGTTCAGACCTTTCTTCGGATTTTTCCGAAGCCTTTAGGCAAACAAATAGTGGAAGAAACAAGCGACCAGTTGCTTGGAAGTATTTCTTCTGCAAACTACTTTCCTTGAATTTGACTTCTCTTCGAAAACCAACATTCGACTGGCATTTTGCCCAATCGGAACCGTCGTTAAATGTCCACTTTTGTCGAAGAAACAGATGACCATTTGTTTTGAAGTGATTCTTCTAGGAACAACATTCGTTAGATTAGACTTCTTCGAAGACCCTCACGATCGATGTTTCGGACTCATAAGCTTAGTTCTGTGATTCATCACCTGTCGGCCACGATTGTAATCATTAAACCAGTTTCTCACGGTGCTATGGAATGGTAAACATTTTATTTCATCGATTCACTATTGCCTTATAATCCACGTCGAATGATGTCAATAATGGCCTCAAAGTTTGGAAAATTTTCTTGAAATTTTAAAAAAACAAAAAATTTTATACACAGTAAGCAACACAACACATGGTGGTACACCAAACCGTACTGAGTATGTTTATGCAAACAAATTCTAAACTTTACAATTTAAATGGCTTGAAGTGTAGACCTCGTAAAATGTCTCAAAAATGATTTCCTATAGTATTCTTTTTTCTATCTTCCAAAGTTTTAACCAAAGTAAATTATCACACCCTAATGTAAATCGGTGTTATGTTTGTTTGTATGCGTGACCAACAAATAACGATGGTAGTAATAGCAGTTGTTTTTTCAACAATCATGTCCTTGATGATTTCCCCCCAAACTCTGTTATTAGTGAAATACGGCATCACAATCGTTTCACATCTCCCACAGTCCTTGTTTGAATGGCTGACAGGCAACCTGTCTAAATAAATGAATGAATAGATGGATGGCTGACTGGCTGGCTGTTTTGTTGTTTACAATATTTATAAGGTTTCAGTAAATACTTAATTGAGGGTGAATTTGTTTTTTTATTTCTTCTTCTTCTGCTTGTCTGTCAGCCAGTCTTTAAGTTAACGCTTAACAGCTAACAACCACAGAAATGTGGGCGGCTAAGGTGTGCGTTGAAAGTATGTAGGTTAGATTTCCTGCAACCCACAGCAGTTTTATTATATTCTATTCCATTTGGTTTTTGTTTGTTTTTTTTTTGTAATATAATGAAATGAAATAAATAAACAAAAGAACACCTAGATAAAAACAAAAAAAAATTATTTAGATCTATGTAACCAAGGAAACGTTGTAAATATAGGGTAGGATGTAGAATGTTGTGGGTTAAGTTAGATTAAATTAAAAAAAGAAATAATATATTCTGAGAAATCATCAAGCACTATTCTACAGAGAATATTTTCCAAAAAAATATATAGCTCGTTGTTATTGGTTTGTCGTATTTTAAAGGTCGTAAAGATCTAATCGAATATACTGGAAT